CCATTTCCATTTGCCATTTTTTTCAGTTCTCATTCGCTGACACTGCGCTTTCAACCACGCCAAACACTCTTCGTATTCTCCTGCCTCACCAAATGTAGCGTTGCAATGCATCCTCCCACTTACCTTCACTTTTTACAGTAACACTTCCACACATTACCCTTCATCCACAGAGTTCAAATTAAAACTACTCCTTTCAAGGCTAATTGTATAACCTCTAGAGGACGTATTTACTATGTATAGGCACAACGTGATGTCTTGACTTCAATGGGATTTATCCCAATGCAGTCGTCTAACACTGTCTCCAACATCTTTCACCATTTTCAATTGTGCCAATGCATGCCAATGCTTGCCAACATGGAAAACCGCTAACTAGTAAAATGAGAAATTGAATGGTAGTCGTGTAAAGGTGGTAAATAAAGTTAGCATTTCAAATGCCACTTATTTCACTCAGTTTCTGCAGTCACTTGTTCTTCCTTTGCAAGTACTTCATCACAACTCTCCCACTTGTTTCCAACTTCGCTTTTTCAGACTTCACCACTCTTTCCGATGAGATTCCATCTCTCCCATGAGCACAGTTTACTGCTTATGTTCCCCTCCATTAAGTGGATGGTCAAATCTCCTCTAATCTCTCCTTTAGCACCAGTTAGTCGTTTCTAAGGTCTTCAAACAGCTCTCATCTCTCTCTCGGTTACTCTTTCAATCCCTCGCCAACTACTTTTATTGGGCCTACTATAGAGTTAAAGTGAAACTAAGGACTTATTCCCACCTCATAAACGACCATTTTTCTTATTAAATAAATTTCAGTTCGACTGTTTAATAGAATAAAACAGTTTTAACATGTTTATCTTACAAGAACTGGCTATCTTTTAACAAGCCTAATGCTATTTGGAGGACATAAATCGAGTTTTTAACAACAAATACTACTCTTGAAAGATGATCCCTCATTTTTCAAAATTTTTCGTTGCTCTAATTTTCCACATGAATACTTTGGTTCTTTTGTTCACAAATCTTTAGAAAGGCTTCAAGACATTGGGACCCTGAAAGAACGCCAAGGCTCTGGGGGTTCAGCCTTCTAAAACGTGGATTCTTCAGTTGCCTTTAAGAAAACATTATTCAGCACCAAGTAAATTAAAGTTTTCAATTCAAATGAATGCTCTTAGAGAAAGTTGAAAATGCCTCGGCTTATGGCCTGAAAATGAGGTTTGATAAACGAACATCGAAAATATGATGGAAAGAACTCAATGATTATGGAGTGGGCGTTTGTGTTAGTAGATTGCAAAGAACACGTTGTTGCTAGTGCGTTGAAATATCGAATAAAGCTATTGAGACCATTATTTCTTAAAATCGGTGTCATTATGAAGAGTCAATAAGCTTATATTCTTCTGAACATGAGATCCTTTCCTAATTTTACGATTTTAGAAGAAAATTAGCCAGATTTTGATTGTTTGAAGTTTTCATTTTTTACCAAAGAAAGCTCTGACCGAAGACTGTAGTATCTTGAGAGTTATGAAATCGTACACTTCTGACGTCATCGATGTCCAATCATTTGAATTGAAGAGTATACATGATTTGAAACTTATTTATTTAAGTGAGGTAGTGCCAAATCTCAAAAAACCTTAAATTTGTCACTTTAAGCGATAAAAAGAACTTGCTAGTATTATTCTTTGCAATTTCAGTTTGATATTCGAAACAGTGTAACAAAAAGGTACCTCGATTCTATCAGTAATTGATTAGTTCATTTTTTCTCGATTCATCTATCTACAACGACCGTTCTAAATTCATTGACTGAGTAGGAAATCTCACCACTTTTTATGAAAAAAATAGATAAATAGTATAGTTTACTTAAAGTTTGGATAGATCCCGTTAATATAATAATACCGCACTAATGGTCCTATAAACCAATGGAAACTGATATTGAACTTATTACTAATTTTAATGTCACTACATGACGCGTCGCACACTATTATCAAATGTTCACTTCCCGCCTGGAATGATCTAACCAATTAGAATTAAAATCAAGGATGACGTCATTCTCCTACAACGAAAGTTTTAACCAATGAGACTGCTGTTCATTCAAGCAATAAGCCGCGCTAGTGGAGTAGGGAGACAAATATTTATTCCCTTTTGGAAGAACATTTTGGAATGGACCAGACCATAGCGCAAATATGCACTCACGGAATGATATGCATAATTATGATAACGATGTCGAATTTAGGTAATTAATAACAGGGTGGCCGACGTAGAATATAATGTGAAAATTTGTTTTTTTAAGAGAAATTAGGTTATATTTTGGTCATTCTTCTCTCCGGAGTGAAGAATCTAAAGGTTTTAACCGGGTTTCTTTACTACAAGAATGTGAACTCGTTTCTGAAACAGGGGGCTACAAAAATAGGACCAAATGGAGACCTTTTTTCTCTTGAGAACAGAAGCCAAAAACTCTCATTCAGACTCGTCTTTCAATTGACTGGACCACTTAAACCTTATGGCCTTAGCTGCACAAACCACAACTTTGATTATGGCATTTGGTTTCAAGGAAAAGGTTTTCCAAATTTCGTAAAAACCAATTCTCTTAAATCGAATCAATAATAAAATTAATACAACCCCTATTCACTTCGTATCTTTGCAATGACTATTTGAAGTAATGGAATTAATGGCATATTGATATCAATTCTACCTGTATTTTTTAGGCAATTCCTGCCAATTCAGAGTTCATAGTATATGAACACATTGAGACAAATTTTAGTCAAAAGATGATGTGAAATTTTCAGAAAAAAAAGATCCGGAATACCTTTGCTTTACCCAATGGTGGTTAACCTTCACTCATTTACTGTCCATTAGATTCAAAATAATCAGATTAAGATAACCATGAGCAAATATACGCAAAAGGTTGGCAAGACTGGGTCCGAATAAGTAAACATTAAAATGAGAGATCCGACCATAAAAAAGAAATTTTTTCTTGAGATTTAAGGGCAATTTATTATTTTTTAAGATCAAGTCGGTCACGAATATCCTAGAGTATAACAATCATTTGAACTAAAACTTTCCATTTGGTTTAACAGAAGATCTTTCCGAATGTCAATTTTAGGATGTTGACATTTATATCCGTTTGATAAATATTGACATTAAAACAGTTTGCTTACCTCATTGGCTTATAAGGTGGGAGTTAAATACTAAATTTATGAAATAATAGGATCATATAAAACGAATATTTATTGTAATAGACTACTCGCTACACTAAATTAACGAGTGCAAATAAAATTACTTCAGTCAGCATAAAAATTCAATAAAACCCTATAAACAATTCAAAAACAAAAACGACTTTTCTACAGTCCCAAATATATCATTGAAGAGTATCGATCACATAGTATAAGTATGTAATTGCCAAAAGCTTCTTTAAATAGATATTTACGTACTGAAATCTGCAAGAAGAGCATGTTTGAGTTGTGCGTCAATAGGAAATTGGCCTTTAGTGAGATCAGTACCAGTGACCGAGGTACAAGGAGCAGTCTTGAGAGGAAGTGGCTGCTGCAAATCAATCGATCCAAAACGTCTTTCGCGAGCCTCTGAGTCCTCTGTCGATGACGATGTTGTTGATCCCCCTCCACCTCCAACTTGTAGGACCTTGAGATAGATCCATTAGAATATCAAATTTTCAAAATTAACAAGATACCTGTCGATGTTTTAGACGCATTTCACAATGTTTTGCCGCTGAAGATGAAGAGGATGTTGTATTAGTAGTTGATGTTGATGTTGAATTACTAGAAGTCATCGAATGTGGACGTTGAGAAGACGCGAATTTGGTCGTTGCAACTACTGGGCTCTTTGATGTGTCCATCGACTCTTCATCTAATTCTTCAGGCCTCTGTGCTGAAGTGCCTTCCTCCTGCTCTTCTTGTCGAAGAAGTTGACGCCTTGGCGTGTCTCCAGGATTCATGTGCCTATTATAAAATCATCAGTTGATATATTTCTTAAAGCATCTTACCTGTGGTATAATGTTATGCCGAAAATAGTTTCCTATTATCTAGTCTTTTTATTACTTAAAATCGACTAAACAGGGCAGCTAAACCAAACAAGGATTGGTATGCTGGACCCCAGATCATCGACGAAAGAGGAATTAATTAGTACGCATGACCCTAAATAGATTGTAATTGATGTAATTTATTGGTTAAAACAAATAAAGTTTAAAAATAAAATTTAATATAGTTCTTCTGTGCATGTAAAAACATTTAAATTTAAAACACGAATATGTTATATTTTAACGCTTCGTAAAATATGCTGCTTTTGAATAGATTCATTATACTCTTGATTTTTACCTCTTCAAGCGACTCGACGTATGCTATTTATTTGATATTAAATTTTCCTATTTCATCTGAAGTAAATAATATCTTGTAATCGAGGTAGATTATGTCATTGAAAAAAGGCTTCTATACGCTTTAGCCACAAATACATAGTAATGGATCAAATATTAATTATACTTGGAGGTGGCAGAGAGAGGTTTCATAAATCTCCAAATCTACAAATAAAAAATTATTTTTTACGAATAATTCACCGCTTGCCTGAGTAAAATAGTTAAGAATAATAAAGTGCTCCTTTAGTGTGTCAGGATGAATCCAATGAGGGGAAAAGTTATGTCAGTATATCAATGCTAAATCACTGCACTACAATTGACGTAATATTACAAATATGCATCATTCGCATTTTGTAAAGCTAATGAATATTTATCAAAACAAATTATAGATTTTTCCATTTATGTTCAGCGCTAAGTTTCACCGCATAAACAAAAGAATATATCATAAATATCACTTATTCTGAGGAAGCCAAACTGAAAATGCTCGCTTTAAAAAATAATAAGAATTCAAATGTAAGAGTTAAATAAGTTTTATGATGAGAGCGAAAAGTTAATTAGATAAGAATAACAGTGGTGGTTGTTCGTCTTCTGGTGAAACTGTATCGTATTAAATATGATGAAATATGGTGCGATGAAATATAATTCAATACAAGCAATTTCATTAACCCTTTCAACAGTTTACAAGCTTGCTAATATAAACACAAAATGTTATCAAATAGTAGGAGGATATTTGTTATTTTCAGAACCTTATGAAACTACTTACACAATTTACAATGATTTTCTCAATCTCTAAGAAATAGTTTTTGAAGAATGGCTGAGTAATTATTACAGAAGAATCAGATCATTCATTCAATCAATACAAAAATCACAATGTAAATATAAATTTTTCGTTATAATAATAATTTTAAAATAAATTGATATTTCCTATATTTTTAAAAGAATTTAAGCTCTCTAAGATGCTTCGAGGGATAATCATTAAGACGATTTCGTATTCTTTTCAGAAAAAACAACAATCAGATTAGGATAGAAGCAACTATGGTGACAACGCATTTCATACGCTCTTATCAGTAAGATATCAACACCGAATTTATGATCCTCGAAAAATTGGCTTAGTTAAAAAAAGACTAACTAAACCTCTGTTGAAAACTACACAAAGTCTCTTACCAAACGAGTTGGTGCACTTTAATGCGGTATAGCGATTTATGAAAGAAATGTAAATGAATCCGAAGGAATAAAACCAATTCAGTGTCAAATCAAGAGTATTTCATGCTAAAACTCTTATTAATGATCACATGACGTTGTATTATATAGGAGATTTTGTGTAATTTAACAATGGTGAAAGTTTGAAAGAAATGTCTGAAATATCATAAAGATTTTATTGATTGCGATTAATTATAAAAAGAAAGATGCATTGTTGATAAAAATACTTAATGAAATTGGCGAAAACTTTAGCATTACAAGAGAGATATTTAAAATTATGCAATTGTCGATAAAAATACTGTAAAAAAATAATAGACTGCTTTGGATTAATATGGGCAATTTGTTAGACGAGGATTGTATAAATGAACTGTCAAATCACAGATATTAAGAAAAGAGGCTTTTCTTACATTTTAGAATATCAAAGTATCTATCTTAAAATGCTCTCCAGAGGTAGATCTCAGAATTATAGAATTCTAATAAAACACTGAGCTTTTAACTATACTAAACTTTTTGTCTCCATACGCTCAACATGAAAAACAGTGTTTGATTATTGCTATAATTTATATTATCAATAAAGCAAATATTATGGTTGCATTTATGGTGCTGGATATATACCTTTTAATTGAAATTTGTCTGCTTTTAATTTAAATACGATTGTTTTAATTACTCATTAAGTTGAGCTTCCTGCTATTTTCGAGCTCTGTTCACTTTTAAATTCCTTTTCGCGCATTCGCTTTCTTGGCCATGTCTACCCTCACGATGACTCAGCGCATTGAAGAAGAGAGAAAGGATCAGAAACTCGGTGAGGTATGTTGCTCAGGTACTGTGGTTACCATCTCCTTAGATTAAGGAACTTAATTTGGATGGCTGCAACGCTACCGAAATTGAGGGCTTGACCGATGAGTATTCCTCTTTGGAAAAACTTAGCATTGTTGACGTTGGACTAACGACACTTGCCGGTTTTCCTGCATTGCCAAAATTGGTTAAGGTTCGTTGCTTGTTTAGTAATTTTACTCGTTTAGCTTGATCTTTCTGGTAATCCTATCGCCGAAGGTCTTGAAGCGCTAGCAAAGTGCACAAGCCTAACAACCCTCAATCTCTCCGGTAACAAATTGGCCTCCATTAAGGATCTAGCTCCTCTTGCATCTCTTGAAAATCTGTCTCATTTGGAACTTTCTACTTGTGACCTCGTATGCGAGGAAAATTATCGCAAAGATGTATTCGCTCTTCTCCCACAACTGTCATTCCTTGATGGGCTTGACCAAAACGGAGAGGAGGAGTCTGATGTGAAAGCTTCCGGTGACGGAGTGAATGGATCGAATAACGGTCATACCGGCCATGATGAAGAAGATGAAGATGATGCTGAAGACGAAACTGAGGATGAAGAGGAGATTGGCCTTTCTGCTCTTCAAGGCAGCAAGGAACTTGAGTCGGATGCGGAGGATTATGTTCCTGGTGAAGAAGAGGAAGAAGAACCTGAGATAGAGGAAGACGATGAAGAAGATGGGGGCGATTCAAATGTGGAAGATGAATTGCCTAACCTCTCTGATGCTGGTGTTACTGGTCCTCGAAGAGCTCAAAAACGAGCCGCTGAGGAGGATGGCGAAGATGCTAGTGAAGCTAAGATTCCTGCAACTGAGGATAGTCAGTAATAATGTCTACGCACTTGTTCATTGTTTCCAACACATCCGTATCCCTATCAAAAGATGTTGCGTGACCGTTTATATTAATCTCAAGTATTCTATCGTGGCGTATTTGTACAGTTTGGCACTTCGAAGGGTTGTTTGCACGTTTTTCTGATCATTCTTGCATCGCATGTGTGTCAAATTTTTCCCTTCTCTAAACTTTGTAATACCTAGCATTTACCTTGCACCACTTTTGTAATAAGCATCTTGTTTCATCGTCAATATAACCTTTTTGTATCGGATTTGTGTTTTTTATCATATATTGTCCACGTTGGGATATTTGTGGGGGTTATTCAATTCCTATGGTAGCTCAAATTTAGGCAATGGCTGTTGGTTAGCCACCCACGATTCTCAGTTTTGGGTCTAATGAAGTCGTCTATGTTCTAGAATTTTCGGAACGTCAGCTACCCCCTACCACCCTTCTCTGTAACTTGTTAGGAGATTGTTGCTTACTTCCTCGTTAATGTTTTGGGACTGCGGTATTCAAACTATCTCTTGTGATCTGGTAGTGGTTTATTAGGGTATCGACTTTCCCCTTTAAGTCATTTTCTATTTTGTTAAATGACTCTACCCTGCAGGAATCCATTTCTGCTTTTGATCACGTGAGGTACAAAGACAAGAATACAGTTAAGGACTCCCGACGCCAAGCAGCATGAAATTGGAACCGTATCGATGTGATACCTTTGTAGTAAGCTAAATAGTTTATTCTATTTAGCCTGGCTAGAATACTAAATTATATGTTATCCCATGTGGCATTGCATACTCCCCCAATGGGTCCAAGTGACCTTAATTTATGTTTATCACCCCGTTAAGCTACGTCCATGTGCAGACCTAACTACAAAATATTTCAGGTCATAAACATGGAAAAGATGGAATTCAGGCCACAGCTTTATTAAGCCCCGATACCCACTTAACACACTCCCCATAGTGCTTTTTAAAATGTCTCTTATCACCAATCCTCTTCTTGCTATCCTTCGCGCAAACTTTCATATGATTGGTTGAGCAGAGGACAGCGCATCACTTTAGTGCGCACGTTTTAATATCGCTGAGGTAACGTTAGGTGGTAGCAAGTAATAAATGCAGCTAACTGCCTACAACAACGAAATCTTTTTCATACTTTCCCCGAAATAAGTTGATCGATATTGATTAAACGCAGGTGGTTGATTAAATTTTCGTGTTCAACCTGTGCCGTGCTTGTTTTATGTGTAAAATGTGGCCTGGTTTAGATTGGATAAATGATTTGAGATTTTAATGAGCCTATTATAAGTGAACGTTCAGTGAATTACAGTTTCGATAATTACTTTATTTAAATTTTGCTTAGTCTTGGGAATGTTTTCGATACATTTTTAAGATGTCGACGATTAGATTAATGAAGATATATTTGGCAATAAACCTGCATTAATTATGCCAGTTTCCTCATTTTGTTTTCTCCTTTTAGTTAATTTACAGGGAATTCCGAAATGATTTTGAGGAGAATGACCATGTTTCCCATGGTCAAGCTCATTTTGCAAATTAAGTGGTCCGAAAGTGCAAAATGGGAGCATTCAGAATAAGGAGCTACAGAAAACATTAATAATATACCAAAAGAATCGAATCATCATTACCGTGACTACGTCGTTTCGATTACGAGCATCCTTTATAAGGCTTAGAGTAATCGAAATTGGGCTCTAGACGACCTTGCTATTCGATGCGATTGAGGAGCAGCGACTCCCCCTGTAGTACAGAAGCATTACCCTCTATTCTATAATCATTTTCATACAAGGGACAAATATAGACACCACTCTTTTTGTTCGTGAGGATTTGGGCTTTTATAGAGACGGAGACGACGTGTTCGTTACCTTGACCAGGGCAGGTATTGCCTTAACTTTCTAAAAAATTGCCATGATCATAATATTATTTAAACGTTTCTCTAGTCTATCTTACTATCTTGAGAACACATATTTGATAACGAGGGTTGATCGTGTCATAATATTTGCGCGAAAACGTAACTCCAGGATTAACTTTTAGGTAGCACCTAGTAGGGCCTTAATACCGGTGCTCTCTGACGACCTTAATATTTTCTTGGAAAGATCGTAATATGGGGCTTCCTCCAAATGCCTCATAGCTAAAGTGATGGACAAGTTAAAAGGTTTGAAGGTACATGCATGACATACTTAGCTAGAACAGCACGACCTTACCTTACCGTTTTTTATCTAGCCATTATGCACAGGCTCAACAAACAAAGGTTAACAATTTACCATACAGCACGTATTTTAGGCATCGACAAATTAGAAACCCCCGCATTTAAGGCTCAAGAACGGCAAGACAAGAGTTGCTTATTTTAATTTAGAGGAAACTGAAGTGAACTCAAGAATCGATACGTACATAAGATATTTTAGGAAATGCTTACATAGGAAAGCACTGTACAATTACCCAGGTCGACTCGTTGATCATAATACTCTAATCAATTAAAAACGCCTAGAGCGGGAAACTCGGGCCGATTTTGACCATTCAGCTATTGAACTAAAGCAGTAAGAACTTGACCAAAATGGGGAAAAGACTCTTGAAATGGCCTGAATTTCCCGCAAAGTGTTTAGGATTTGGTTGGTTGGGTAAAAGGGTATTTCCACTAAGATGTGCGTAAAGGCACGTAAGCTGCAACGCATTTGTCCAATCACCGCCCAGATGGAAAAGCGTCATCAGCACGGCTACATGAATGGACGACAGAGATGCTTGTACGTGAGATGACTAATATCCAAGCGATGCGTCATCATTTTTTCTACATACGAGGCGTCTGCTATAACTTTATGGGACAGTAGCCTTGATATAAGATTTCACGTTAGCTCCTTCCTATTTCAAGTAATCTCGATACTGAGTGCCAAGTAACACTACTACTATGCATTGTTTCTTTCGATTATCAGAAATTCATTCTTTTTAAGGCAATTGAACTCGGTTATTTCGAGAAATCGAATGCGTGTTCTCATTATTTAAATTTAAAACTTTTCTAATTGCATTTATTAATTAACGTGTCCTCTTCTAAATAGAACTAATGTGATTAATTTAACGATGATTTTGTTTTCATGCACCAATATCTCTAATTAAAATACCTATACTAGACACGTATGGAAATTTGAACTAACACCAGAAAAATGAAGGGTTTGTATGGATACTACTTCCTATGACTAAGTAGACATTGTTTTACGCCGATAAAATAGATTTGATTGTAGAGATTTGAAAATTCTGTTAAGTAGTTAACGCAGTCACATTGGAATATGGCAAAATTGGGCATGAACAAACACCATGATCAGGCAATAAGAATATATCAATACCACTATGCATATCTTTACATATGTAGTAGGAAAGGGTTAAATAACGGACCCAATTGCGCTTGAAGAATTGAATCAAAGCTTAAAAATGAGTTCAGCGCACCCTTAGAAAAACCAAACTTTTAGGGTAGTTAAAATCATACATGGAAAAAAAACATGTTTACCAACCATTCTACCTTTTAGGTGAACCACATATTGAAATAGTTAAAGATCTTTTGTAAAGATATTTAGATCAATAACGATGAAAATTTCAATTTAAATGTATGCTTCATTACTATTAGGCCATTTTCACAATACTCATCAGTGATTTACTGGTAGAATATTCAGTTGAAGTTGATAACATGTGGAAAGTTTCTCATGTTCAAATATTTGCATTCGAATTTGTACAGCAAATTTTAAACTATGATATTTTTCAGTCCAAATAGACCTATCGATTGAGTTAAATTCTCGTTTGCCTGTGTTTTAGTAAGATATTCCACAACAATGTAGTTTCACACCTGATCTCTAATTGATGGAAGTTGCAGTAAGATTAAGAAATGAAATAGTTGAAACAACGTCTTACATCTCGAGATTAAATCAACTTGTAAGTGCCATGTCTATAATCTGATTCCCATTCAAAATACTCTGGTGATAGAATTCATAGTCGGTCCTAAATTGGATTTATTAGTCATTGGTAAGTTAGTGAGTCTCAAGTGAAAGGTTATTAAAAATCGAGGCAGCTAGATAAAATTTTGTTGCTGCTGGTAATTCTGAAAAATACTACACATTATTAAAAGCTGAAGTTTTTCAATGTAAACTGAGTTCAATTAATTCAATTCCCAACCCATTTTCTTCATTCGAAAGACCAGTAAATTATTTAATATAACCATCGAAACGCATGTCTTCGGATATTAGTTAAGGCAATGGGGTTAGGTGTAGATGGATGAGGCTTCGCCTTCAAGTGAAGCACCATATTTCGTGTTTTATATACTAATATATTAATTCATAAATTTTAACTGGCTTAATTTGCCTGTGCCTTCGTTTGCAAAACACATAATTTAAATCTGAAATAGCATTACTCCCAAGGTCATATACTTTCTTCACGCATTCTGCACTTATCAAAATTAAATTTAGTTTAAAAGTGCTTTAATCCTTCATATACTCATATAAGTAATGAAACACAAAACACTTCCATTTGTTTCTTTGCATTCGATTAAAAAACATCGAAAACACATAATTCATTAAACGATTTCAGCTAATATTTTACACGTTATTCAACCAACTTTCTACATCGATCGAGTCAAAATTTTGTTCACAATCGATAAGTTAGCAATTGATTATTTCGGTCAGGTAATGCGAAGTGAGGAGAATTTTCTGAATCATAGTTACAATTTGTAGTGCTTTAAGTGAAAGAAATTGAAATTAGAAAATTTAGTTAGAAGGAAGCACAATCTTAGAATGCATCAAATTTACTTGTAAGGGGTTGAACCAAGTTACCTTATCTGCAATATTTCACTATCAATTATTCACTTTCTATTTTGTTTCTGAAACTATTGATTGGTGATTGGCTGGGAGGTCGCTTTGCTCACGACAGAACCCGCTTCAATTGCTACAAGTAGCGCGTCTCACCCTCGGGTCCGAGTGGGCATGAGATTTCTTTGTTCAGTCATGACAGTGTTGTAC